GCACCACATCTGGCACCACATCTGGCACCACATCTGGCATCACATCTGGAATAATGGCATTTGGTTCGATAGATTGACGGGAAAAGAACGTTTTTCTGTAAAAATTAAAAATCGTAAACAAATAAAAAAAAAAACGTTTTTAACAATAAAAATACTTATAAAAAACTAATCAAAACTTTCAACATTGCGATTAGTAATTATTATTGGTTGCAGTAAAAAGAATATAAAATTCATATTACATTTGTTTGAATCTTTCCCAGAACTATTATGATAAAACAGCATAGCATTACGTTTGAAAAATTAAAATATTGATATTAATATCATATAATAATTATATTGAATTTAATATCATCGAAAAAGATGATCTGTTTTTATTAATATTATGAATTTAAATCAAAATAACTTTTTCCTATACTGCATTAATATGCATATATGTGTTTTAAGCATACATACACAAATACGCATATACATATATTTCACTATTGCACATACATATGTATGCACGAATCAAGAGATGCATGAATCTAACAATCCATTTATAATTTTGATAATTTTATATTAGAAATGATAATTTTATTTTAATTAATAATATTATAGATTTATGATATTTTTTTTCTAATTCAAACATTTTATTGTTTTTAGAATTATTACCATTATTATTTGTTTCGATAATAATAAAAATAGTAAATGGAAATATTAAGAGAGTGATAAAAGTTCTCTTAACTTATCCTCTATATTTTGAATTTTATTTATAATTAAAGCATTAGGGTTGGCCATATAAAATAATATGTATATATAAATTAACGAAGTATAAAAATATATGTATTAACATTAAAAGTCTAATATCTAATATAATGTATATGATATAAAATTTACCCGCATAGATAACACATTCCCAAGACAATTCCTATTACTATAACAATTGTTACAAGTGTAATCGTTTGAACAGAGTATTTATCTGTAGCATTCACAATCAGATCTTTAAATATTTTGGTAGGTAGTACTGTTGCTATTGTTTTCTTGCCCAAATTGTATATCCATTTATTTTTGTCTCCGTATTTTTTTATATTTATTATAGGATGTTTATTATCGGTTATTCCTGATTTTATATAAACTAAAAAATAATCCTTCTTAATATATATATTTTAATTCATAAACTGGGGGTCTATTCTGTAACTTTTAACAATGTCGTTACGTGTTATTGCGCAACTAAAACGTATCGGAAAACAACTGCTATGACATCTAATGACATCAGTAAAGATTACAGAATAGGACCCTTGATCCTTATATTTATCAGTTTATCAACATTATTTATTTTTTTATCTTACAAAAGAATATAATAAATATAATAATAAAATTTAATAATATTTAATAATAATCTTATAATAATAAAACGATAAACCGGTATTTTTCTCTTGAATTTCTTGTTAATAAAAGACTAAAGCCAAGTATAATTGTATAAACAAACATTACCAGAGGCATTCTTAATTAATGACACAATTTTTGAGACAATCTGTATCTTGTATAGATAATTGATTTTATTTTCGAGCGTCTCTGTGTCGGCCAACCTTCAAAACTTCAAGCACGAATTTGACGATACAAAAAAGCATGGTGAACACATGCTGGTGATTTTATTTTATCAAAATTGAGGACATATCTTAAACTAATTGCATATACGAAACACCGAAGAAAGGCGTGGCACTTACGGCAAGATACTAAAATGCTAACAATTGGTTTTATGATATTAATTTCTCAATTTTACCAAATTGTGATCCAAGTCGCGTTGTCTCGTTGTTCGCTATATGTATATGACACCGCACGACAATGATAAACATTATTATATAAATAATAATATTATATGTAATATTATAAATTATATTATATATGACAATCTCTCGCTTGATAATAATTAGTTAATTGTACTAATAATTAACTTTATACTTTAAAGTTATTTAAAGTATAAGTAAATAACTTTATGATAATCATAACAACAATCATAAAGCTGTTTATATTTCTACTTTTTAAGAAAAGCAAAATTGTGTATAATAATATTATAAAAATAATTATGTAAGAAATAAAAAAAAAAAAGTTACCACATTGTTTGCAATCACTTATTTTTATTTATTTATTAGGAACATACTAATTTTTAATTTATTAAAATCACACAATTTACAAATGAGAAAAGGGTTTTCATAAAGTAAGTTAAGTTTAATTAATTAAATAATTGATTAACTATTTTTTTTGATAATTGAACAGACATATAGTATCTAATATAATGTGTGTATATAATATAGAATTTACCCGTATAGACAACATTGTATCAACACACATGCAATTGATATTACTACAAAAATTGTTACAAGTGTAACCGTTTGAACAATGTATTTATCGGTAGTATTCAGATTTTCAAAGCTTTCGGTGAATAGTACTGTTTCTGTTGTTTTCTTGCCCAAATTATATATCCATATATTATTGTCTTCGTATTTTTTTCTATTTATTGTAGTATGTTTATCATCGGCCACTCCTGATATTATATAAACTAAAAAATAATTCTTCTTAATATATATATTCTAATTCATAAACTGGGGACCTGTTCTGTAACTTTTAACGATGGCATTCCGTGTCATTGTGACGTATCGGTATATACGATCGTAAAACGTATCGGAAAACAACTGCTATGATATTTAACGACATCAGTAAAGGTTACAGAATAGATTACATTTATCAGTTTATCAACATTATTTATTTTTTTATCTCACAAAAGAATGTAATAAATATAATAATATGATAAAATGAAAAAAATAATAAGAATTAATATAAATAGTAAAATATGAATGGTAAAAATAGCTCTGTGTTGTTAAATTAATCATTTTTTAAAAATTATTTTTTAATAAGTTAACTTTTATTAACAGTTAAAGTTAAACACAATTAAATTATAGACATTATTAGTAAATCAGATGTACCTCTGTATGTAATGAGCATATATAGCATAAAACTATCAACGTTTCTCTGTTGCTCTTGATAAGCCGGTATTTTTCTCTTGAATTTCTTGTTAATAAAGGACTAAAGCCAAGTATAATTTTACAAACAAACATTACCAGAGGCATTCTTAATTAATGACACAATTTTTGAGACAATCTGCATCTCGTATAGATAATTGATTTTATTTTCGAGCGTCTCTGTGTCAGCCAGCCTTCAAAATTTCAAGCACGATTTTGACGATACAGAAAAGCACAATGATCACATACTGGTGATTTTATTCTATCAAAACTTAGGACATATCTTAAACTAATCGCATATACGAAACACCGAAGAAAGGCTTGCCACTTACGGCAAGATACTAAAATGCTAATACTTGGTTTTATGATATTAATTTCTCAACTTTACCAAATTGTGATCCAAGTCGTTGTCTCGTTGTTCGCTGTATGTATATGACACCGCGCGACAATGATAAACATATGACTACTGAAGAATATAAACGATATCCTTGTAGAGTCTGAAGAGTTCCATTCGCCTGACTCTTATTGGCTGTCAATGTCGCACTGAATTATTTATTTTTGAACGCTTATGAATCATCATAATCTTTTTTTTATATTTTTTTTTTTTGTGGAAATCTATGCATCTCGGATTTTTTAACGTGCACTTTTGTTCGGCTGCACTTTAATCACGAGCATCTTACATTGATATTTATATGTATAAAATTAAGATAGTGAAAATATATTCGATTTCTTGTACGTATTTGTATTACGTAATCCTTAAAAACTTATCTTTTTAAAAAAATTGAAGAAAATGACGTCACCTACACGCATTAGTTATGAAAAATGTTGTATGTACTACAATAAAAAACCATCTTACAAAAATAATGATATCAGAAAATTATGCCAATTGAAAATAAAAATATGTATATGTATATGTACATAGTTATTGGAATGTATATAATTGTTTCCATTTTAAATGATTTTTTTATAATAAATATATTGCAATATATTAGATATGATTTTTCTCTTAATATTGGATATAAATGAAGTTATATATATATATAGTGTTATGACTCTTTAATTATATTATTAATCAAAATCTATTTTGCAAAAATTTAATTAATCACAATAACTGATTAATAATATAATTAAAGAGTTATAACACTATGTCAAAACAAAATAGTCTTCTTTTTTTTAATTAAAATTATCGATAAGGCATTCAATCTCTAGAACGTGCCGCGCTCTGGGTCACTAATGCCAACCTTCGGGCCGAAGAGAGAAGAGAGAAAGCAATTTTGATTGGAATCATATACCATCTGTTCCGCTATTTTGTTGATTTTGCTGATTAACTGTGTTGTAGAATACATATAATCTCGCTATTTTTTGATGTGCACATATATAATCTCGTGCACGAGGATACGCGATATCTCGTTGATTCTCGTTGCTATGGTATTTTGCATACTTTGACAACGGAAGCCTTACACAAAATCGACTCGCAAAGTTTGTAAAATAGATGGAGAATTTCCAACCAATTTCATATAAACTTTATATGAGTGGAATATAAAATTCTGAATATACAGGGTGTCCGGAGTCAATCGCACCACCCGTCATGTGCGGATAGAGCAGGTGAAACCGAGAACAAAAGTCCTTTACCATATTGCAATTTTCGTAATGCAAACCATGCATGAAAACATAAATTTGCAAATATTCGCATAACTTTCCAAAAAAAATTTTTTTAAGCTGAAGATTTTTATTTAAGTAGTTTATAATATTGTATTAATATTGTAAAAAAATTAACAATTTTTATCACGTCGTTGCGCTGCAAAAAAATGTAAAAAAATGTACTCATTTTTCGAGGTTTCCAACGGGTATGCCTCTTTAAATAAATTATGAGTAATATGCCATAAATATATAAACGAGAATATATTTTGAGCGATTAAGGACGACGAAAGAGGACAATCACACAGGCTGCTGCGTCTCCCGGGGCATTGCTAGAGAAAAATGGCGAAAGAAAAGCCGAGAACCGAGAGCGTGCGAAAGCGATTCCCGCCGCGCAGTTTAATCGTCGGTAACGAGCGACCGCACGAGACGATACTTAGTTTATCGTCGTATAAATGTGTGTACGACCGTGACCGTGGAAAGACAATAAAACGGAATGGACGGAACGAGGGAAATGCGGTGTATCCGAGAGAGAGGAGCTTCGGCTTGATAGGCGTAATTGTCCTTCTCCTCGCGTTATCAGCGCTCGCCGATCTCACGAGCGGGCACAAACGGGCGCCGTTTTCCAGCGGCGATAATACGTCGTCCTTTCTCGATGCATCGATCGATCGAGGCCTCTCCTGCTCGTTTGCGGATTTACGAACTCAACCGTACGCGAACCGTAAGGATAAACCGTTGGAAAGCCTTTCCCGTGAGAGTCTTTAGTCGCTTCGAGAGGATCGAGTCGGACGAGTTCCTCGACCCGGCGCTCGCTCCTCCTCGCGAAATCGCACAGAAATTATTTTTCTCCCGACACAAGAGAAATGGAAACAAAATCAAATATATAAGCTTTTAAATACGACTCTGGCGTCAACGATGCGGTTGCTGTTGCACGATTCATGATTTAACATTATAAAGGCTATTATCTCGATATAATTGGTAAGGTGTGGTTTATATACGTGTCTGTGTGTGACTTTCTAATAACATAATTGCCCGAAGCTATCCGCGCAAATTACAGATTTTGGGTTAATACTCTCGTTCTGGGGTTAATAACATACGCATGTAAAACGATTTATTTGTAAGCGTGTGAAGTTTGTCCGCTGTTAGAATATATCAGCGAATATAAGATATCACAGGTAACAATAAACATGTGCGCTATTAGATATCTCGACAATTCAAAATTAAACATTTCATCGTTCTTTCTATTATTTTCCGAATGTTCTCTCGTCATTTATAAGTTTAATTCTTATTTATGTGTCATAAATATACTCTTTTTTTTTTTTACCAAGGATCCTGCTAAAATATTATATGTACTCGTCGCATTTTGTTAAGACTTTGGAAAGTTTTGCGTGCGAGATACGAACTTCATTTTTAAAGAACCCAGATTTTACGCGGTTTATATGTGGAAATAAAAATTCTTTAATTCTCTTCCCTTCTACGCCTATCGAGGTCCTTGCACCGGCAAGGATGAGGACGTCGCCATCGGTGAGAAGAATTGAAATGTGAAATTTTGTTTGCTCGCGTTGCCTCGCCGCGAGTGTGCACGTTGCTGCTCCCCCCCCCCCCCCTCCCCCTTCCCTCTTCCCATGTCCTGTTAGCCGTGGGATAATCGGTGTATCCGCGAGGGATCTACGAGAGCAAACACAATGCGCTAATTAGATTTCCACCTGCCAACCGCGCGACTCAAGGCGAGCGCGCACTTGCCGCGCTCGATGTCGCGCAGCGCAAAAAAAGCACTGTGCGCGGAAGCGGTCCGGTTAACCGGCTGTTTGATTTCAGTCGACAGTCACCCGATTACGAGCGACGATTGAAACCATATGGTGACGATCGAGCGGATTGCTAGAATTTCGCGGTGGCGGCGGCGGTAACCATATGCGAGAAGAATTAGCGCGCCGATTGGTAACGGCTGATTTCGCTTATGCAATTGCTCGATCCGTTTATTATCGAGATTTTATCCAGTCAGTCAAGTGGGAAGTTCTTGTAATGTAATAACACGGGATATTATGTGAGGACTGCTTTAATGTTAGATAATTAAAAATAACGGCATAAAAATATATTTTAGCATGAAAAAAATTATAGATTATAGATAAACTATAGATTTTTTAAAGTCTTTATCTTCGATTGTATATTGAAAGGGAAAGAAGTAG